ATATGGCTGTCTGTCATATTAAAGAAATTGTAAAGTACCTGAAAATGACTTCATGACTGTTTGAACAATACAATAGCTAATAAAAGAAGCAATAAAAATAGATTTATTAAATATAATAAAATCCGCGAATCTAAGTATTAATGTTATTAATTAATTTTAATTTTAAATCTACGGATCTAAATATGTTGTCAGGACGAAAAGTATTGTGTGATAATACTGAAAAAGGATATGTTTTTTATGTATCTATAAAACACGATGTATGCAGTTTTATGATAGGTATTATACTTTTTGTAATATCACGAAATTGATATTCAATGAAAATACGATTTATGTTTCACACGAAATTACTGAACGTAATTATCTTCCTGACAATTTCATATATTATCAGCTTTTCACTTAGTATAGTACAGTTAGTTTATTGACTGCTCATTGGGGGTCTGATAACTTAAATACCGTTGATAAGCTTTGCACGTGTAATTGATTAAGAAGTAACAGACTTTTCTGACGCAAGTGCGTGTTTAATCGGAATGAAACCTGGAAAACAACGCGTATGAGACATCCGCATGTGATTTCTGTGGAATAGTGGAATATTTCAAAGACTTTATCACAGGCACGTCCTACCCGTGACATTGTATTATACCTTGAGATGTAAACGAAATAGATAATGCAGCCAATTATTCGCTGTGACTTCCCCAAATAATGTATTTTATGCAGATATATATATACACAATATGTGTACGTATATATGTATTAGCATAAAGAATTTTTACATTCAATTTATCTTGTAGTTATTATAAAAATTTCAGGTGTTCGTAAAAAATTTTATGAGCATCATTATGTAGGTATCTCATTAACAATTAATTGTTAATGTTTATATTTACTCTATTTCTTACGTTAACATCGATAATGTCGTCGCGACTTTTTCGTGAACCTCGCGACTCTGTCGCGACCATATCGCGCAAATTAATTCCTTTTCATAAATTCAACGCGAAGGAGCGTTTCATATTCAACGCCATAACTCGAAACGTGTTCCTCGGTACGTGTGTAATCTCGAATCTCAGACTCATCATTTTCAGCCGCGTCAGCTTATGGTACGTGAGACCGTAAGAATTAGCTAAGTGAGTAGCTACGGTAGTTCTACGGCTATTACGGATGCAGAACCAGCGATAGAGCCGACTGAAATGAACGAATCGTACGAAATTGACAAACAGCTTATCCTATCATCGAGGGATAACATACGAGTACTTTTCCATGTAGATAATGATGATAGCTGGTTGGTAGACGTCAAAGGGCCTTCCGATAATTTCTGAGAACTACTGAGTAAAGTCCCTTTTACAATTCAGTCCTAACAATCAATGTTAAATTCATGTTTGCAACATTAAATACGACAAGGAATATTTGACAGAAGATCACTAAACATTTTAATACTTGTATATGTAGAATTTCAGATTTATTTTCTATCGGAAATAATAGGTTGCATCTCTAAACCTTTGATGATTAACAATTGATATTTTAAATAAAAAATTTGTAAAATACAAAAGTAATACTATTAATAGAGCAATATGCGAATTATTGGCAACATATTCGTTAATAATATAATGCGTAATAAAATTGGAACAATAGATACATATTCGATTCAATGGAGCCGATTATAAATTAATTCCCATTAAAAAAACGAATTAGTCCAATTTATTTGCAAAGAAATATAAAATGTTTAATCTTATTAATTTGCGAATCATTATAATTCATGATTTTACACAAAGGTACATATTATTTTATGAAAAATTCAATTTTAATACTACAAAAAAACTGTCAATGGATACTTATATTGAGCCCGTACATTTATTATTTTTATTTAAAAACTTTTATCAGATAATATCGAATGAACAATTCGCCAAGTAATAGTTTGATAATCGTACATTCAGCTTGTATAATACATTATTGCTTGACATGTATAAAAATACGATTTATCCATCCAAAGTTTTCGCCAATGGACTATATTTTACGTGAAATGTCGAGGAAGATGAATGTACAAATTCAGCATCGTACAGATAAGAAATCTTATCTCGTTGAGATCATGGCCGTTACAATATCCTTATTATTTTGTTCAGTTAGCATTCTAAAATTAACCGGTGAGTGAATCAGAGATATGCCGTCTGTATTTCACTCGAAATGTTTGCCATATGCAAATTGCAATCGAATCGAATTGTAAATATTTTCTTACAGCAAGCACGTTCAGTTTGTTACGCAAGAATATAGAATCTGTTTTCTTTCATTGTGCAATCGACTGTGTTTAAAGTTACGTGCCTGTTTATATAAATGCTTAGGTAAATTAAACTATCATTGCATTCACTCATACGATAAATACACACATGTACACGGTAGTTAGCGTTTTCCAAAATTTACTTTTTTGAAAGAGCTTCAATTAATAAAGCTATAAATTATCAAATTAATGTTATTTTGAAGAACGCGTTTTAGACAATCCGGTAATTGCACACTCCATTAGAAAAAAATTAGAATATACTTTGAATCTCGTATTTAAATTTGTTGGAGATAGAATTTTATGCGATGCACTGTTGTGTGCTAGATGAGGGAAAGACGCTTAACGATCGCCTTTGAAACGTTTTTCGTATCAATATGTAGATGCGCTGCGCCATCGCATCCCAGTATTGCGTATGTGTTCACGCGGCTGCTGGTAATTACTCACGTCACGTAGCCGCGTTGCTGGCCACGGATGCCATTTTTTATACTATCAAGAGGTGCCAGCAGCCCGCGCAGTCTACCGCCACCCAGCGGATAATATCGGCCAATGCTTTTTATTAACGCCGAGAAGAAGAGAGACCCGTGTATCGATCCAATAAACGCCGTCACGTCGGATCGGGCGAGAACAATCGCTACAGAGGATAAAATTCTCCGCTTGATCTGACCGCGAGTGGAATTGGCACGTCACGTACCGGCGATCTCTTCTTTCATTAACGTTACGAACGTTTCACGCATCGCTCCTAATCACTGCCCGCGAGTACAAGCGATCACGAACATCGTGAAAAGAAACCTGCCTTTCTCTCCCTTCCTCTTCCCCGTTTACACGTGCGCGTATGCTCGTGTTTCTACAATTTCCACTGGACTTAAATCCCGACTATGTATTTAACGAGCTAACTTGTTGTTTCTTATTCCTTCAGACGAGAAGGATCTATATACTTATAATAATATAAAGTTTAACATAATAAAAATATCTTGTCAGATATATGATCGGACAAGATATAAAATAATAAATCAAATATTTCATCATTTTCTCTTTTAGACTTAGATTTCCTCTGTCTATTTAATCTGTATTTTAAAACGTTTCTGCCGCATTACTTTATAAGCTGCTCTCGTAATTTAATAGGCATTTTTAAATTTTTGTATTAATCCGACAAAATTTTATCGGCAAAATGGCTTGTCGAAAGCATTTTTGATTCATCGTCATTGGAACTAATTTCACCATACGCTGACATTATTATTTCACGTCCATTATTGTCCACGCGTGTTGCGCAAAAATAGAGAATTTTATTCGCTTCACACTATAAATTTCCAAAAGTCCGGTGTCAATCAGAGAGCATCATTTCGATAAATATTGAACTAGGTGGGGTATCAATCAACCATCAATACGTCTTGTCCTGAGCAGACACACAAACGGCTGACTGTGAACATATTCTCTCCTTGCGGTGACACCGATATTGCATACGTATTACGCATCGTTTGTCATCATTATCCGTACCGTAATTAAAACTTTCCGACTTATGATGAAGGATTGCGCGACCTGATTTCCATGAAAATAGAATGGTCATCGTAAATATCAAGCTTTGCCCCATATAAAAACGTAACATTGTTCAAAAACTGTCACTTCGACCAGCGCGATGTGAAATACGCTCCGATTCTGTACAAGTTCGCCGCAAAATACTGCATCAGCTGCAATTATACCAATTAATGAATAAAAACATACCTATTTATTCAGTACCAAGTAAATTATACAATAATAAATGTATTTACGCAATGCATGTATTATTATATAAATACTTGCTAAATAATAAGGAACTGATATAATAATAAAATAAAAGTAGCTATAAAATTTGTGTTGTAATAAGAAGTAATAGGAAGTAGGAAATATGTAACACTTGGGACCTTGTTCTTGAATTTCTGTTTCTTACCCATAACAGCTTCATTAATAATTAACGCATAAGATAAGCTCTTGAGAATGATATATCATCGCGAAATTGTACTTCCCATTGCGTGATACATTTAGATTTATGCTCCTAATTCTATTATGAGTGGTGCTGGTGAATATTAATGTGTAGGGATAGTTTTCAAAGGAAATAATTTTTAAAAATATACAACAATAACAATATCTTTATTAAATGCAGTATAGTATAACAGAGAGCAAAAAGAGAAAGTGAACAGTAGCTGATAAATAAGACAATTACAAGCAAAAACGGATACGCAAGTAAAATTAATGGGAGAAAGTCTCCTATTATTTCTGCTAAATTAATAGGCATCATTTGTTGGTTCCATCATAAAATTGCCCTTGGAGTAAAATTTTTTTAGCGATGAACTCATTGTTAGATTGTGTAATCGTTGCGAAAAGAGATTTGTGATTGAATTAGGATGTTGAAAACCTGCTATCTCATATTGAAAAACTATCCCCTAGTAGACTTTTCTCTATATGTTGCAAAAATTATTTTGTTCATTTAAATACGTTATTGTAGTACATTCTTATCAACTTATTTTGCAAAGTTTCAAGATGCGACTTTACATAGATAACAATGAGAACGCGATAAGAATGTGTAACTATAGATTTTCTTTTTAAAACACGCTGACGAGCACAAATTAATTTTCGTATTTTTCTATTTCCGATGGAATATTTGCGAACTTGAGAATTCAGCCGTGCACATTCAGTTCTTTTTCTAATGGTGACGGCTGCTGGCGTGTCGTTGCCAATCGACACATGCGAGTTGGAGTAATACCGTAGATTATACATCAGTTTCTCGCTCAATGGCTCCATGTTCAATGATTCGTAAACCGCTATCTGGTCCACGTGACCGCACGTGATCGCTTGCCCAAACCTGCTCTTTGATAGTGGTTTTAACCGGTTCGAACTGTCTTCACGTATTATATTCTTTTATTAGGAAACAGGTTTTAATAATTTTTTTATAAATGTATGTACAAATGATGCTGTTTAACTAAAAATTCAAACTTCGAGAAAATACTTAAGATTCGTACATATCTATATCTTTATAAAATGTTATAACGTATTATTTTTTAACATCGTGTTTACATATTCATATTTATTGTAATGATATTATAATGATATTAGATCTATGTATATCATACGCGTGTGTGTATAAAATTGTATTTATGCAACGCGTACAAGATGTTACAATATATAGCTACATATTTACATTGTAACTATATATTGTAACATCTTGTACGTGTTGCATAAATACAATTTATATTATCTAAATTTTATATTAATATCTGTATCGTATATACATAGTGGTTTTGATACTCAATTTTATAAAGCGGTTGTTATATTTAATGAGATACCATACATTATAAAATGAGGGAAGTATACAGTAATTTATAACATTTCATGCAAATTAAATCGAATTGTCGGTTTACTGAAGCGGTTTACTACGGAAATCCTCGCAGACAGTATGCAAATCGCAAACATCGATATCCTCATATGATAATAATTTTACGTTTATTGATGCATCATCTAAAAATAATTCCGGCTGGACAGATTCTTCGCGATATCGAGAAATTGTTTTCAAATTTAGTTAATTGCCGCTGAAATAATTCGTCGGCGACATAAACGAGACTGTGTGTTGAGCTAAGCGACCTATCGGCTTTATTTCATTATTTCGCATGACTCGCACCATTTCATCCCGGGGCATAATTCCGATAGGAGCTCCTTGTTAGTCTACCGAGATAGCGCGGTAGTAAGATCGATCGTCGGGGGCTGCACGGATGCGGGGTACCGTCGGATAATGGATCGGACGTATCCGCGAACTCGATCCCCACGTGCGCGGATGTAGGGTTGAAGCTCTCCATCCGACGACCGTTAGCTGCGTTCCCTGTAGAGACAAAACAATTTTATCGGCCGCAGTAGCCGAGTCAAGTATTTTCATGAATTATATACTGCGAGCGGTCACCCTCGGGAACCCGAACGGAAAATGTTCGAGGTCTCGTCGACGACGACGACGACGACGACGCTCGGCACGTCGCGTCGCCTACGGTTCCCCGGCTCTTTCTCACGCAATAAAATCACACGCTCGACGTATTGTGTCGGTTCGAAAATTTCGAAGAGAACTCGGACAATTTCCCGACAGTCACAGGGTATCATTCATTCGCGACAAGGAGGCAGGGCTAGGTAGGGCTCTTCAAAGAACAAGTGAAAATCAAGCACGCGTGTATCAATCGCGAGTGCCAATCTCTATCTCGACGACGAGAGGGTGGCTTTTATGTTCTTTACCTTTGATACCGGAGGTCCATGCTATGCAATACCTTTCTCTCTATGGACTTTTATGTAGAAGTACGCGTCGACGTTGTTTGGAAACTCTTAAACTTAATATCTATACAGCAATGCAATAGTTTCACCGAGAAATTTCGATTAACCGTGGAGAAGTAATAGTATATGAAGAATTCTCTCTCTCTTTCTCTCTTGCTATAGATATATATACCATTTTTATTATATAATTCCACAAATACCGACCGTAATAATATACATTTTGTTATTAATGCAATATAAGTCTGCGAATGATAACGTGTTATCTGTTCTAAACAATAAGGCAATAGAAATAGACGGGTAAAGTTTTATTTGAGTTCCAAAATTTGTGTGAAATTAAAATTAATCCTCGAAATCAAAAATATCTCCGTAAATAACGCATTCAACTGTTACTGCGGTTTAATCTGTGGACGGTAAAAATAATACGTCGAGATATTTCTTGTAAAGCTGAACAAAAACATTGAAAATGTAATCAATAACAATGCAATTTTATCGGATAGGAACGATTTTCCATTGACATAACGAAGCGAACTGCAAAACGTAGTTGCACTACCCTTGATTGGATCTTTATTCTGCCTTTTTTTTAGATTAGAATGTATATGACATACTATATAAATTCTATCTATGTCAACTGTTGAAAATTAATTCTTTGATACATTTCAACAAATCACTTACATAATTAAAAATAATAACTTAACACTTTCGTATATTCATAAAAAAATATTTTAATATTAAAAACTAATGTCCAGTGCATTCAGCAAAAAAATTGAAACAAGAATAACACTCTGGAGAATGAAACTCTGCCTTGATCTATCTTGAAATAATATCATAAAGGCGAGATGTGTTCTCGAAGAAATTAAAATATGCTCATCAGAGTAGCGCGCCGCAGTTATAACCGCATGCGGTTTCCAGTTCTTTTTGATAGAAAAAGTCCATTTCTTTAACCTCGGACGAAACGACGGGCGCAGAACTCATTTTCTAACGACCAAAAACGCGACGCGCTATCGAGGCAAACGTCATGTACACACGTTCTTGCACACACACGTATTCCTTCCGCCTCCGTTTCCAGTTGGCGGCTAAACCGGAAATAAGCAATCGCGACGATGCCTTTGCGCAGTTCCGCCCGCCGCGAAGATTGCGATGATCGATTTCGAGGGGCGAATCGCTAACAGTACGGAAAGGAGTCCCCGCGGGAACCTGAGGGTACAGTTTCTTTTTTTTTTTTGCCGAATCCCGCGAGATGCGGTTTCTTCCGAGAGTCGTCCAGCCACCATAAAAATATCGACGTCTTCCCGATGCTTCATTAGGAAAAACCGTCCGTCGTCGTCGGCTGGGCCTCATGAGCGCGCGTTATCGGTGTGCAGATCCACGACCCGTGAAATTACGACGGGGGCGTCCGGTACGCCGGCGCGCACCTTGTAATTTTACGACTCGCGGGCCACTTAACATCGGGACCGTATATTTCCCATAAAGCGCTCTCTCGGACGTTCCTTGTAGCGCGGCCGGACGGGCCGCGGCTCCTCACCCGAGGTAAACCCCCGTCCGTCTGCAGGTAAACGATTACCCGCTCCCGCAGTCCCCGTTTCTCGCGAGGGAACAAGGCCCGGTGTGAGGCCGAGCCCCCGTCGTCTCGCTATCTCCTTACGAATCTCGACAAAATGCGTCGTGTCGGCTTGTCGGCGCTTATTACGCCACGTGACGAAATGACAGTGCTCATGGCAAACACAAAGAGGCATTCGTCCCGGCCGTGTGAGTCGTGTAATCGCGTGCAGGCGGCTCCACGCCCAGGAGGCGCGGAAAATTTCACGCGTACGGATGGCGGGACGGTTTTTACATTGTAAGCTCGTATATACATATATATACGTGGAGCGCGAGCGGGTCGTGTCGCATGTGCCGTAGAATATCCGAGGGGGGTTATCAGGATGGTTGCTCCCAGCCGGCGTTCTCCACGCATATCAACATACTAATAGGAAGCACGATTAACATATTTCTTTTTGTAACGCGCAAAATGAATATGCTGAAAAAGGAAAGGTTATTGTACTGTATAAAACTATAGTTATTTCTGCCTTTGTTACTATATCATTTAGCAAATAACAATGGCTCGTATGATAAAATGAAAGAATAACAGAAGGGGCTCAGAGCCTAAACAAGGTTGTAATGTCCGATAAAATTACTTTATTTTAATAGCAAATGTATACATACGTTTCGGTCCTTATTGGATCATCTTCAGTATAACGAAAAAATAATAAATACGATTAATTAAATACATACATAGATTCGCGAATTAAAAATATACAGAGATTACGCAGTCAGTATAATATAAAATTATAATTAATTATAAAATTATATAATTATAAAATATACAATTATAAAATAAAATTAAGAGATAGTAGTAAAAAAAACGCGGCGCAAGTAAATATAACATAATGAGTCAGAAAGTAAAAAGCAGTAATAGTCAGGTAACGGACTACCGTCTCTTAATTAATTAATTTTTACCGTATATCATTTAGACCCAGTTTCACAGTGGCTAGTCAGCTTAACTAGTTGTTAAGTAGTGACGCCAACCACTGATACAACATTTGGTAAGCGATTTACAAAGTTATATTTGTGTATATATTGTATATATACATACACAATATATACATATACAATATATATACAAATATATTAATACATCAGTATATATATATTTTTTAAGCTTATCTGCGAAAATGCAACTTGTCAAAATCTAATCTTGGAAATAGCTTACCGAATTTTGTTTCAGTGGTTGGGATCACGACTTAACAACTAGTTAAGTGGACTAGCCCCTGTGAAACTGGACCTTAAAGCCTCCGCTACAATGATTCTCGGTTCTGTCTACAATGGTCGTACAGTTGTATCGATGGTCGCTTGAGCAGTCGCAAAGTAAGAATTGACCAATCGCAGTCGATTATTCTTACGACTACGACTCTGCGACTCGCATTGTAGACAGAACCGAGAATCATTGTAGCGGAGGCTTAAGGCTCGAACTTTCGCTGCCTTGCGACGTAGAAAAACTGTGAAGTTTTCTGAAAGTCGTCGGTTACTTTTCAGCTTTTTTCCCCCCCACTTTTTTAACCTTATCTATATTTATTACACTATTAAGTTAATATAACAGCACATCGCGGTACATTTTATTATGTAGGTAAATTAATGATTTTCTTTAGCGCGAGCAAAATATAAAGGACTAGTTTTTCTGCCTTAACGTACTTTATTTTACATTTTTTGCAAATAAAAAAGAAAGGCCTTTCTTTTACATACTCTTACGCCAAGTAGACCGCTAAGCAGCATAAACTTATCGGCCTCGCAGCGCGCGCGGCGAGGTACAGGTAAACCCTTTTTTTTATATTTCTATTTTTTACGTTAATAATAAACGAGGCGCGAAAGCGTTTTTATTTTTAACCGGCAAAGACAGCGGGCGAGAGCTCCCCTTTTTTATATGTACACACATATATATATATACATATATATGTATAAAA